TTTCGATAAAAAAAACAAAATAACGAAAAAACTCAAAACAATTTAAAGATTTTTACATTTGAGGTAATAAAATATTTACACATTCATCTATAACACACATTACAACTTTTACTAATTTGCTTAATTGTTTTTTTATTTTACAACCAAACAATTATAATGAATATATATTAATAAAATATTAATAATAAGTAATTTAAATATAATTTGTTGATTTTTTTTACTACAATAATTTATTATTTGACATTTTTGATATAATAATCTCATCATTTTTTGTCTTTATTATTTCTATTAAACCAAATTAAAATATCAAATTACACAAAAAAACTAAATTACTAATACTTTTATAATAAAAATACATAAAATAATAATATATTACCTACTACCATAACTTGATTTTTAACATCATAAATGAGTGACAACTCAGTTTTTTGTTTGTACAAAACGCCTCCAACTAGAACTTCAAAATTGAGATGGAATTAGCAAAGCTCTACAACTTATCTCTATTAATATTAGGGGTCCTCACCGTCTTATCAGCTTCTGGTGTGATCTTTTTGTCGATCTTTGGGCCGATTGGGAAGATGCCCAACACACAAAAATTGAACAATTCTGACTTAAAATTTTATAGTAAAACGGTGTATATGCTCGAAACTATATCTCTATGTGTTTTATTTATCATAGCTGGGGGGATGATGATTGCTTGTTCCTTCATTCAAAAGGATTGGATGTGTCTTCTCTCTTATATGGTCATAGGTTTAGGGATCACTTGTGCCTTTGCGCTTGGGACGTACTACGCGATCACTTATTCGTCGTTTGTGAACACTAAAGATAACACCTTAAAAACACTGTCCCATTGGGAAGACATGGTTTGTTCCATATCTAATACTTTATAGTTATAAATAGTTTAATGCTCATTACTATTATGTAATAATTTTTAACTAGAGTTATTAGTTAATTGTTTTAATTAATATGAAACTATAGTTATTAAATAATACAATGACACCAAGTTCGACTGCTGTGGGTGGGTGACGAAACGACCAATGCCTCCTTGTGCTTCATCGATCGGAGCACTACTGGGTGACTGTAAAGTCGCACAAGCATATTG